GAGGTTGTAGAGAGGTACCACTCCATCAGGCTGTGCATAGTCAGTCTGTTGGGTGGATGTGATCTTGGTGAAAACTTTAACATTGTCAGCAAAAAGGAGAAACTTGCATGCAAGAGGCTTCGCAATATCATTAATAAATATAAAGAACAAGAATGGTCCTAACAAGGAACACTGAGGCACACCCGATGTCACTTGTATCGTAGACCTTGAGCAACAGGAAGCAAATTTCATGTGTAAGGTTCTTATAATAAATAAATAAATAAAAATGCCTTTATTTATTAAGCGTTTCTCAGTACAAATACTGCTTCTCAGAACAACTTTCGTCAAAAACAATATAAAACTAACAACAAATAAATAGAACAATAACAAAACAGAAACAAGACAATATGAGTAACAATAATTAACCATCAGTGCACAATTCTTTGATCTTAACTCTAAATGATGATAAAGAATACTTTTTGAGGCCAGAGGGGAGGTCGTTGTACAGTTTTGGACCGAAGTACGAGAAGCTTCGTCTCCCAAACTCAAGCCTCACTCTTGGAAAGTGAAGCTGGAGACCACCATGGCGGGTACTGCGCTGAGAGACCTCCTCCCGGAAAGAGAGCCTCTCAAGAAGGTACTGTGGCTCCTGTAAGACAAGAGCCTTGTGCACCATGCAGCACGTCATGATCCTGCAAACAGTGTCTACTGTTGTCATCCCCGCTACAGCTCTATAGGGAGAGACATGTTCAAATTTTTTGAGGCAAAATATGAAGCGAATAGCTGAATTTTGCAGTTTCTGCATTCGGGTCATGTCTACTCCAGAGATGCTGTTTCCATAAGCAGGGAGACAATATGTAAACACCGACAGGACTAGTGACTGCATGAGGCGCAGCTTCGCAGATTCTGGCAGCAGACTTCTAAACCTGTACAGCCCTCTCAGCCTTCCTAACGCGCGCTGCGAAGCATGTGTGACATGGTCAGAGAAGGTGAGGCTGCTATCAAGCACAACGCCAAGAGTCTTTGACTTGTCACACAAAGTCAAAGATTCCCCGTTGAGCACAACACTCACTCCTCTCTCGCTGAGGGACTGCACCAAGTCTTGTGGCGCCGTATGCATCACAGTACACTTGCCAGTATTGAGTTTCAACCCATTTGCTTCTGACCACAAAAGGATTTTTCTCAGATCAGAGTTAATGAGATCGAGTGAAGCTCTAATCTGGGATGGCTCATAAGACAAGTGCAGCTGTGAGTCATCGGCATACAAATGAACTGTACAATGTTGCACACAGCTAGGAAGGTCTGCCGTGTACAAATTGAACAGAACAGGCCCAAGACAGCTGCCTTGGGGAATTCCTTGGGTTTTGACAAGCGGGGTTGATGTTTCACTCTCTAACTGCGTCACTTGCAGCCTGGAGTCTAAGTATGACCTTATCCATTTCAAAATATTTTCGTCAAAGCCATAATATTTCATTTTGGCCAATAGCATCTCATGGTTCTTCTCGTAAGGTAGCTTCGAATCCAAGTAAAAAGAGGGCCAGTGATTCGGAGAGCCTCGAGCTTAACAATGAGGTGAGGATGGCTAACTCGATCAAATGCCTTAGCATATTCCAGGTAAAGACAATCGACCTGCTGATGTCGACGTGTGAAGGCTGATGTCACAAAGTTCGAGAAGATACACAGGTTTGTGACTGTAGACCTTCCAGGACGAAACCCGTGTTGCTCAGATATGAAGTAACTCTTGAAAGTGAATGAGAGTACATCAAGGACCAGACTTTCAAATATTTTAGCCAACACAGACTGGATCACAATATTGGTCCGTAATCCTTTACATCCGATGTCAAGGCAGATTTGAAAACGGGAACAAGAAAATTAGACTTTAATGAATCGGGAAAGATGCCAGCTCTCAGAAGTTGGTTAAAATAAATAGATAGGTGGTGAGCAAGTGCTGATCCGCAGAACCGTAGAACCGCCGGGGGGATGTTGTCAGGACCAGGTCCCTTCGAAGTGTTCAGCTTCAGTAATTTTTCCTCAACATGGACAGCAGATATATGCCACAAAGGAACATTGAAACTTGGTTCGAGGTTGTAGAGAGGTGCCACTCCATCAGGCTGTGCATAGACAGATGAAAAGTAAGAAGCAAACACGTCACACATAGCCTGAGGAGGCTCCCCAGCAGATTCCTGCTCAAACTGCAGTTTACATGGTAAGGACTGTTCTTGGACAGCGACTTAATATACCTAGCCAAAAGGATTTGGGATCTGACTTTAGGCAAGTGTCAATCTTCCTTAGGTAGCTTTCATATGACAGGCTCTTGGCAAGAATTCGCATTGACGCCTGACTTCCTTGAAATCATTGTAGTGGGTGTTAATAAGGGAGTTTATTTTAAGTTTCATGCGGCTCTTTCTTTCTAGCAATTATGAGTCTCAACTCATGGCTGAACCAATGAGGGAAATTCTACTTGGTAGATATCCTTAGTGGCAGAGGCGGCGTTTAGGGGGGGCCAGGGGGGGCAGTTGCCCCCCCACTTTCACAAGGAATATTTATCAAAATTATAAAATAGAATTATGTCAACAATAAATCTAGATTTCGCCCCCCCCCCCACCTCTCAAGCCCAATCGCCGCCACTGCTTAGTGGAGATTAAAAGCGTATGCAATTTCCAAGCTCACTGCAGGAGGAAGAGAATAAAGACTCGACACTCAGTATGGGCAACTCGGGTTCCGGATAATTCAAGAATTCGACCCAGGTAGTAAAAATTTGTTGTTATTATTTGATACTGGTACAGGTTTCAAATTTGTACGTTTTTATTTTGGAAAGTTGTACAAATATTGTAGAGGAATATGATTATTTTTTAAACGGTTTGTTTAAATAGCATTTATGGTCTCTAGAATGTCTCAAACATGTTCTAAAGGACCTCCCTTTTGTTACTTCTATAGGTCTGCCATAATAAACACCTACAAAATATGCCATTTTCCCCTTCTCCTCACCTAAAATTCTTTACCCCAACTGCAGGTGGCCATGCTCAATGACAAGTACTGTACTTTGATAACTTCCGACGCTGAAAAGTGCTTACAATGAACGATAATTGGTTCTTGATTGGAATCGTGGAATCAGGGCCGATTTACCGAATAGGCACGGTAGGCACGTGCCTAGGGCGCGAGGCAATTGGTTTTTTTGGGGGGCGCCAAAAATTTGGAAAATGAAAAAAATTAGGTTATATTTGCATGCGATCGCGGTAAACTTCCGATAACATCTCGCGGCAGTGTAGACATCGTAATCGTCTCCCGCGTTTGTGGCAAGATTCTTACTATTTTCCGCGGTTGGGTCGTTTAGACATAATTATCGTCTTCCACGATCGAGACCATAATATATGAACATATCCCGCGGTCGTGAGGAGATTAACATCCTCTACCGCGAATGAGGCAAAAATCTACTTTTCCCGCGATCGTGTGGCCATTATGATCGTCTTGCGCTATTGTGATAATCACCCCTCGCAGCCGTGAATACATAATTATATCCCCCGCTGTCGTTTGGGCATAGTAATCGCCTACCGCAATGGCGGCAAAATGGTAATCATCTCCCGCGGACATATGGAGTTAATCGTCTTCCGCGAATCAGACAAAATTCTGATCTTTTCCCGCGGTCATGTGGACATTACCATCTATGAGCGATCGCGGCATAATTGTGATCATCCCTTGCGGTCGTGTAGAAATCATTATTGTATCTCCCGCGGTCCTATGTAGACATCACAATCGTGTCCCGCGGTCATGAATACATGGTAATCGACTCCCGCGTTTGCTCCAAAATGTTGATCATGTCCCGCAGTAGCGTAGAGATCGTCTTCGTCTTCCGCAATCGCGGCAAAATTCTTGCTGTTTCCTGCGGTCGTGTGGGCATTATCATTGTATTCCGTAATCGTGGCAATATTCTGATCATCCCTCGCGGCTCCGTAGATATCATCATCGTGTTCTGCGATCGTGAAAAATTCTGATCATCCATTGCGGCCGTGTGTAGACATATTATCGTCTACCGCGGTCACGTAAACGTCACTGTTGTCAATGTCATGCGCGATCACGGTAAATTGAAAACTCTACTTAGAAATACAAAATTCACACATAATTCCCGGTTCAAAAACTCCCGCATGATTCCCGAATTTCTCGGTCGGTGGACACCCTGTTATATAAATTGAAAGGGGCGCTACTATTAGTTGTGCCTAGGGCGCTGACAAGGTCAAAAACGGGCCTGCGTGGAATACATCATCAACTGAACTTTGTGGTGCGTACCACTTGCCATCTTGGAAATTAGTTAAAAGTTTATAGTATGCTTATCAGTATATAATAACGCGAATTAAGATACACCAAATAAGGAACTTAAACCTAGAAATGGTAAAACAACCAAACAATAAAGGATGAATATTGTAAAATCTGCCTAAAATAAATTAGTAATATTATTTAGTCTAAATAAGCATCCTTTAAAATGTTACCACACGCATCAAAACAGGCTTCAAATTTTAGAATAGGATGAGAAGTCTACCTGCTTAATTGATATTTGATGATTATGATTATACATAAAATACTAATGACTTATCTTCGTAAAATTTAAAAGAATGCTCATAAATACTCACAATGGACAACAACATTTTTAATATTCAAATGTTAGGGTTTAATTCTGTAAAAAAGTATTAATTTCAAGTAAATATCTCCTTTAGGATAATAACCTTGACTATGGTAAGTTAATACCTTAGGTGTATGTTTAATCTATGATAATATTTAAAGGCTCAAATTAAATGTATGTAAGGTTTCATGGTATGAAATTATTACTAGACCATGCATGGCATTTCATGGACGTACAAAAATTCAAAAAAAGTAAACAAAAAGAAAAAGAAGCTCCAAAACAAAAGTCAAAACCAACCAAAACAAAACGGAGCAAGTTTATGTTTTATATTGATAACAAATATTGCTAAATTAAAGTAATGATTTTATTGAGAAATGTTTCATCAACACGCATAGAAGTATTTTAATTGATTTTAGTCATAAATCAACAATCACTTTCAAGCATAAAATTAATTCTAACATTTTGGTTAAATCGTATACTTAGGATTTTCTAGTAGGCCCTACTTTGAGTTGGATTTTAATATCACAAACTCTCTTACAGTTATCTAAATGCCGAAGATTCAAGGAGAAATAATTAAATGATGCGTACTTTACACCTCCTGAATAAAAACTCCAATGTTCTTGGTAAGTAAGTCAGACCATAAAGTTAGAAATCAAGACTAGTGATCAAAATGTTAAATGTTTTTATGTAGGCCTAGGCTAAATTACTTACATTACTAATGCTGCTGCAAATCTTCCTAAATTGAAAACTTAAAGAATTACAATTTAGTGCTCTAAATTATTGAATTCTAGAACAGACCCGTTTCTCATCCGCTCCTAGGTCTCAGACTAGGCATATTCCTACCTTTCAATGGTAGAACAGATTAATTTTATTTGATTGCGTATGAATACTGTACGAAGCTGTGCCTCAGATCTGCTAAAAGCATAAAACAGTCATTAATGGCTCTTCTGTCTCCCACATTATAAGTAGGCCTAATTTGGCTAGCACCCTACATAGGCCTAAATGTTAATACGTTTTCATTAAGTTAACGATCATGATTGTGATCAGGGGGTTAGTTCTCGTATAAGCAATCCATGTTGAAAATGAATTTTCATCCAAATACCCGACATAGTCAACTGGTATTCCCTCCTAAACTAACTATTATAGGGATGGAGTCGTGCTATGGATGGTAAAAACTAGTTGTGGATATGCTTGACAGAAGGTTTAAGATTAGGCCTAGTTTAAGTATTCAAATTTATGACTAGGCCTACTGTATTTCTTACCACAACCGTGTTGAGCAGACAAGCCAACGTTCGGGAGAGCTATAAGTTAGCAATCATCGACTTGGGGCTCCATAGGTTGAGACTGCTCAACTATAATGCTGCCTCATTTACTTGCTTCTCCAGTGTGTGGGAGGTTCAAGCATGATTCAGCATTTGGTTTCAAGTAAAATTAAGAAAAATAAATATTATGTTTACTGGTCCTATACTACATTATTGTTTTAACATAAATATGACGAGGAAGTCAACAGCTATTGCTGTATGTCAGTTTTTGTAAAATGCTGGACTAAATAGAAAGACAACATTGGGTTCACCCAATCAATCTGTTGATAGACAGTAAGGCTTTCCTGTCAGAAATTAAATCAGATCTAGGGAAATTTTACAATTATTGTCAAATAATTGCTATACCATTTTATAGGAAGGGTTTTAAATACCGTAAGAAATTATTATTAGATAATGTCAAGATGGTTATACAGGGTGTCCCGTAACTCTCTGGACATATGTATATAGTGTTATTCCTTAGGTCAAGACAAACACATTTCACCATAGGAACATGGGTCTGTGGTGTCTAGTTTACCGACTGTCGGCATTTATGTGTTTTTTTACAAAAACATTAATAACTCCTAAACGGTTTGAGATACAGCTTTGATATTTTGCAAACATGTTTATCTTATTAAGACCTTTTATCGTTAGAAATTATACTAAAAAATCATTAACCGTTTCAAAATGGCGGCCATTAAAAATATTTGATGCCGAATTTCACAAAAACCGTTAACTTTACAAAAAAATTGCAAGAGACAAAAAAGTTTGTAAATTTTATGTAGTTTTCAATAATACCTTATTTTTTAAGATTGGATACATAATAACAGAGAAACTAGTTGTTTTCGTAATGTATGACCACTTTTCTCCATTTAAACAATGCTAATACTCCTTTTACGTTGTTTAGCATTGTTTAAATGGAAAAAGGTGGTCATACATTACGAAAACAACTAGTTTCTCTGTTATTATTTATTCAATCTTAACAAATAAGGTATCATTGAAAACTACATAAAATTTACAAACTTTTTTGTCTCTTGCAATTTTTTTGTAAAGTTAACGGTTTTCGTGAAATTTGGCATCAAATATTTTTAATGGCCGCCATTTTGAAACGGTTAATGATTTTTTAGTATAATTTCTAACGATAAAAGGTCTTAATAAGATAAACATTTTTGCAAAATATCAAAGCTGTATCTCAAACCGTTTAGGAGTTATTAATGTTTTTGTAAAAAACACATAAATGCCGACAGTCGGTAAACTAGACACCACAGACCCATGTTCCTATGGTGAAATGTGTTTGTCTTGACCTAAGGAATAACGCTATATACATATGTCCAGAGAGTTACGGGACACCCTGTATAAATAATGATTAATGAACTGAGTAACCTTTAGTGCTAATTTCTTAATTATTGTACTACTGCATTGGCTGTAGGCCTATACCAAAGTGGTAGCAAGAAAATTAAACAAAAATAGCCTATATTGTTCAATGAAAATTCAAAATATAATTATTAAGTTTTAACGAAACTTCAACATTTATTTTTCAAAGAAGAGTTATTTTTTAACAGCAAACGGTCAATTGAATTTTGAAAGCCACTAAGCTTTACTAGCTAGAAAGGATTTGGCGCATGCGCAGAACGTTTTGCTCCTTGAAACATATTTTATCTGTAAATACATGAACGTTATTTATCTAGGCCTATAGTTTTTCTCATTTGGATGCTGGTACACTGTTCCTCTAGTATCTAGTTGTTTGTGCTGACTATGAGTGCCTTTTGTGTTATTGATAATTGAGTTTAATTTTCAATGCTTGATTTCAGTCAGAATATGCCGTAGACATCTAGCTTCCGCTAAAGCAGGGCCTATACAAGTTAACCATGCCTTGGTATTGTCTAAGTTTACAAGGTATGAGGTAGAGAAGTCGTGTCATCCAGAATTAACAGAGAGTGAGCTGAAGAAATTTCTTAAGTCCAGAGGTTCTAACTACGAATCTTTATTGGATCACCATCAACGTCACAAGGATTATGAGAAATATGTTTTGGACTCGTTCAAGGAAATGGACATCACAACCAAACTACTGACGAGGTTGGTACAGTAATAACATAAGTTACATCCATAACATAGGCAAACCATGGCAAAATTAAAGACCTTCTGACATGAGTATCTATAGTTGATAAACTAAATATTGTGAGAGAGCTGGTTTAGTGGTAGAGCACAGCAATTCTGTCCCTGAAGTCTCAGGCTCAAATCCCATGCATATGCATTTGCTACAGTAGGACCTCCGTCGAAAATAACAAGAGTGCAAGTTCATTTTGGATAGCCCCAATTTTGGTTAAAAACCCTTTTTTCGCATTCCAAATGAAGAAATGGACCTTAATGAAGTTGAACGTTTAGACTGAAAAGTAGCTTAAACCAACCAAAGCATTGTTGACTCTGTTTAGACGATACAAGATATGTTTACTATCCAGTTACATAGGCCTCTTGTGCAATTGAATAAGAGAAACAAAACGTCAACTTGACGTAAGCACAGTTGATGTAATCACACATAACACTGGTTTAGGTGAGGAGGAGGTGTGAGGAGCGAATTTGTAACTTGTGCACAAGGTCAAAGACCTTCCCGCCACCCCTCTCTCTAGTCCGCTCCCACCACGCTAAACGTTCTCTTTGCTTATGTAGGACGCGGCAGCTAAAATCTTTAGCGCCAGCGCTGCATGCCGTAGCTGTAAAATGATTTTTCCGAAAGTTTTGCTTAAAATAAGTTAGCCTAAGTTAATCTCCATTCCGTCCCACTGTATGATAATGCTGCGATCATCTAGGTCTGCCTGAATTAATCTTAACAGTTTCGGGCTAGAGCGTAAAGTCCTGGTATATGATGATAGGATGTAAACAAAATTTAAAAATGAAGTATAACACAAAATGTTTAAAAGTTTATACTGTTCCTAAAATCAGATTTCATGGGTTTTTTAAAGATTGAAAATGGTTTTCCACAGTACGAATTAGTTCAATGCATTGTACATAATAAAATGAAATTAAGCCACTATTTTGTAAAAGAAAATCCAAACATCTTAGTATAAATCATAGATTTATTTTCACTTACTTTTGGAAGATGAATCCCGGGAAGTGAAATGTCCAAAATCTTCTTTAGAACTGTCGTCTACTATTTCCTCTACCAACTCTTATTTCCTCTCACTTGTTTATCAAGACTTTTCAAAGTCAATTAAATTTAAATTGTTACATTTATTTCACAAAGATTTCCTCGGTATTCATTAAATTTCCTGTCAATAACTACTGAACAATTAACTTGGGGTCACTTTAATGCTAATTATTCGAGTTGTTTGTTCATGCTAAACCAACCAAATTCTTACGCAATCGATTCGCTTTTAGTGTTAAGTCGGACTCATAGTGTTAAAATATCAATTGTGTATCTAGAAAGACTTCTAAATCTATGTACCCTAAGTAAATATGATATGTTTATTACCTACTGACTGATTAGGTAAACATTTTTAAGTAATTAAGTAAAAAAGGTAAACATTTCTTAATAAAATAAAATTTTAGGTAGACCTGGATAGATTTATTAGCTACAGTATGTTATCATCCCATCAAACTGATATATAAAATATTAAATCAATTGTAGGCATTAATTAAATAGATATAGACCAACCAGTTATATCTAAAAGAGTTTGTTATTGGTTTGGTTTTTTCCATCCTCATCATAAAAACCAATGGAGCTTGCCTTTATATTTTCACACATGAGATCATGAAGAAACCCATTTTCCCAAAATGAAAAAAAGGTGAGCCTAACTCTGTCATAAATTATCTCCAAGTTTATAGACCAAGAATTAAAACTCACAGTAGGTCAGTATGTATTACGATACATAATATTACAAGTGTGTACTGTTGTATACTGTCTTGATGTATCCAAAAATAAATATACACCTAATTTTGTTTTAATTTAATTCTTGACACTCAAGTTGTTGATTATTATTGACAGAAAGTAATCATGATTTCCGTTATCAACTTATCAAATCCTAGGTGCTCAAAATCATTATTAAACTTGTAGCGAACGTTCACTAGGTTGGATTACACAGATTCTTGGATAGATTGGGCCGATGTGGTGTTCCCTGTGGGAGGTGATGGGACGTTTCTATTGGCTGCCAGTCGTGTGACAGACAATCGCAAACCTGTCGTTGGCTTCAACTCCGATCCTAACCATTCTGAAGGTTTCCTCTGTCTCAACAGAAAATAC